GTTTTTACCATAAAATGAATACAACCACAGAATAACGTTTTTGAAAATTGAGAAAAGGAAAACATTAACCACAACGTGCTAACATCTCGGCACATTGTTCTCTAACCGGTGTTGACCGACGCGGCGGCCACGCACGCCGTTTAAATTTAGATCCCGCAACATGACGGAACGTGGAAGTCCGGTGCCGGCAGCCACACTGGCCACGTTTCCAGAGATGCCAGCTGCGCGGGAGGCCAGCGGCTACTACGTCACAGGCACAGAGCTGGAGTCTGTCCCGCAAGGCGGGAGGTTCTCCTGTGCCCCCCGACTCCTGCCCGGGACGGCCTCACCCACGCTCAGGGCCTTTCCACAGACTTTAACCAAAACGTGCGTGGGATTTGCCCTGCTTTGCTGCTAAGACACCACGAACATCCATGTTGACGGCTCAGCCTTCCTGAACACCGCGTGGCCTTCCTCCAGGAGGCGCTGAGGTCCGAACGCTCGGGAGTCACAGACGCCTGAGGAAATCGGGTGCTGCCCCCTCCTCAGTGACCCCCGTGAGCACACACACAACGCGGCCCAAGAGGCCGGGGGCCCACGGACCCCTGGTAAGACTCCCTTGTCTCGTAGGGTGAACTTCTTGCCTGTCGGACAGTAAGTCCCTCCCCTCCGCTCTGCTGTAAAAAGCTCCACGATGAACATCTTCTCGCCAATGTGTTTTACCTCCGTGATTCCGACTCCTTCCCAGCACTCAGAAGACTTTCGGTTTTGGAGACGGCGGCCGCGTTCCGATCTCCATACGCATCTCTGATGCCCTTCCCCGAGTGGGGGCGCTGGGCAGGCCCTCAGGGGCCCGCACGGGGGTCCTGCTATGTTACACCCTCACCTACCGGCGCTTCAGACGGGGCCGGGCACCTCCCAGGACAGACGGACGGCGGGCTGGCTGCTGACCGTGCTGCTGACCCTGCCCGATGGTCGCCCTCGCCGGCATGCCCATCCCACGCCCTGGTTCCTGCTGCTGAGGGAGTCACAGAACCCCACCCTGCTCCGGGACTCGGACCTCAGCCAGGCAGCAGCCCTCCGTGGCCGCCCGCTCCCCAGTGGGCCTTGAGCGCTCACTCGGTCGAGGATTTCAGGCCATCATTGTGCTGGGAGCGGAGTGGGGGGTGGGATGGGGGTGGAGGTGGGGTGGGGCAGGTGCCTTGGCCATCTGAGAACCGGGTCCTGCCCGGCTGTGCCCCACAGGTAGCACACGAACGGACACTGCCCTCACATCACGAAATGCTGGAGGGGCTCTCAGGTCAAGGGCGGGGTGGGGGGTCTTCCCCGCCCATCCTAGCCTGCCTCTCCGTCTCCACATGTAGTTCTCCGGTTCTGCCACCAGAGGGATCCCGTGAGCCGGCCTGCCTGCACCCCTCCTGGGGACCCAGTGCCCAGTTACAGTGGGACCCTTGGCTCCAGGAGCCTCTATGGGCACATGCCAGTCCTCAAAGCCAAGCTCAGCTGCGGGGTGGCTGCTCTAGCCAATGCCCGCATTCTGGACCTCCGCCCAGACGCCCTCTCAGTCCAGGGCTCACGGACCACGCCTCTCTTCCTGGGGTCCCCTTCAGAGCTGCGGTTCTCAACCAGGCAGCCACGCCGCAAGCCCCTGGGCCCCACTCCCAGCAGCTGGAGGTGTGGCTGCCACCCAGGCAGGAGGCGTTTCCAAGGCTGCCCGGGGCGTCCTCACCTGCAGCTGGGCACAGAGTGCCTGGTCTACAGTGTCCCACACGGCGGACCCTTCAGTGAGGGATTTCCAGCCCCATCACCGTGTGGGCACTGCAGGGCGGCGGGAGGGAGCGGAGGAGCCATCCCCTTGCTTCCACGGTCTCCGGGGTGGTGGCTCCGAGAGGAAAGGGGCAAGTGAATGTGCCCAGCGCCCAGACCTGGCCCTCGTCACAATGGCCTGGGAAAATGCAGATTCCAAGGTCCACCCCAGCCCCTTCCAGAATCCACACCTGCTTTTTAAGGCCCCCAGCGACCTGTCACGCGCAGCTGGGTCGGGAACCAGGGTGCCTCCCTGTAACACCCATCAGGTCCCATCTGGGACGCAGGCCGTGTCCACGTCGGCTCTGCCCCCACCTCAGCTGAGCACAGGCTCCCGGCCAGGAGGCCACGAGGGCTCCCATCCATCTCCATCCCGTTGCAGCACAAAGCCTCAGCCTAACCGGACTGCTCGGGCCTGAAGAGCACGTGTCACGATCTGGGGGGTCTCTCTGGTAGACGAGGCCTGTCCCCGACCACACCACGGTCTGCTGCGCACGCCCAGAGATCGGCCCACTGTCTGTGAAGCAGCTCCACACAAACAGATGACCCCAAAGGGAACTGGGGGGCCCGGGGTTCTGGAAAGCAAACATTTGGCTCCGGGAGCCTTACCACCGAGAGGCCTCCTAACGTGGCCTCAGAACCCCAGCTCCGGGGAGACCCCCCCGCTTTCCCTCGGGGGCCTGACGTGGTACAGAGCAGGGCTCTCGCATCCAGCCGCCGTTGGAATCACCTGGAGTAGCAGCCAGCCACGAAGAGGAGGCCCACGTCAGGGACATCGTCAAGGGACCTCAGGGACATTGTGCTCAGTCAAAGCAGCCACACGCAAACGGCCTCCTATGCCGTGATTCCACTTACAGGAAACATCCAGAACAGGCAAACCCACAGAGACAGACGGTAGGGGAGTGGCTGCCGGGGCTGGGGGAGGGCGGAGGGGGAGTAGCGGGTGTGGGGCTTCTTTTGGGGTGAGGAAAAAGTTCGAGAGCCCGACAGTGGTCACTGCTGCCCAACACTGAGTGTGCTAAAGGCCATGGAACGGGACAGTTTTAATTGGCTACAGCGGCAAGTTTTGTGTTATGTGTATTTTACCACAATTAGGAAAACAAAATTTCCCTACTCTGGGGCCGCCCCTCTGTCTGGGAGGGTTCTCAGCCTCAGCACTGAGACACGCGCGCAGGATCACGCGTCATGGGGGAGGCTGTCCCGGGCACTGCGGGGTGCTGACAGCACCCTGGCCTCCAGCCACCAGAGGCCAATCACGTCCCCATCCTCCGTTGTGATCAAAATGTGTCCCAAGACTGCCATGTGTCCCTTAGGGCAGACTTGGCCCCAGGTGAGAATCTCGTCTAGACGCGTCTGGAATTGCCTGGCCACGAGGAGAGTAAAACGGGTCCCCTGGGAGGTGCCCACAGGCAGCCAGCGTGGAGAACCAGCAAGGCGGGGGGCAGGGGGGGAGCAGCCAGCAGTGAACTCACTAGGCAACCCCATAAAACAGGTTACTATCCTCATCTTACGAACAAGGAGACGGAGGTTCTGAGAAGACACAGTGCTTCCCCGGGCTCACACCAGCCAGGTCTCCCAAACTCCCAATCCAAGCTCCTTACGCGACTGGGGTCCCTACAAGGCCCATTACATCAGGCCCTGATTCCGGTTCTGCCACTACGACCTCAGCCATGAGACCAAAGGCCAGGCCCAGCACACCTGAGTCACAGTAAAGATGGAACTCGGGACCTGTCCCTCTCCACCTGGGCCCTGCAGGTGCCAGGCACCAGCAGGTCTCCCTGCGCTGGCCGGTGGCACCACCAGGGGGAGCTCCAGCCAAGCCCTGCAGTGGGAAGCCAGGTTGCTCTGGTTCCCAGGCTGGTTCTGGTGGGGAACCCCACACAGCTCGGTGCACAGGGTGCCGCGGCCACTCCCCTCCACAGGCACTCTCCGGTACGTGAGACAGCGGTTACCAGGCCACTCCCAGGCTCCAGTGGACCTCATCGGGTTGAGGGGATAAAACCAGCAAAGAACCCAAGAAGCTCAAATTCCTTCTCCTTTGCTCCCGGCTTCCGTCTGTCCTGTGTGACCTCGTGTGCTCCGGGTCTGGGGCAGAGCCAGCTGGGCTCAAACCCAGCTCCTCTAGCGTGCCGGCTTTGCGACCTCCAGCAAGTCACATAACCTCTCCGAGCCTCGCTTTCCCTTTCTGTGGCAGGGGTGATGGCAGGACCCACCCCGCGGGGTCTGGGGTGGCTGTGAGCATAAGCGTGAGCTGCCCGAGGCACACACTCCCGGTGCCCACACCAGTGCTTGAGGCGTCCGCCCTCACCCGCGCCCAGCTCACAGCTCAAGTTTGGTGATCACCTGCCGGCTGAACACAGCAGGGCTTTGGGGCGTGACCACCGTCCACCCAGAAACCTAATGAGCGAGGACCATGGCCGGAGCATGAGAAGGGGCTGCCGAGGTCAGGGGTGGCCCGGCCTGCGCGGGCCCCGGCCGCTCCGGGTTAGTGCAAGCCCGCTGTTCCCGAGCCTTGGGCACGCCCACCCCGGCGATGCCCTGCGGCCCCCTCATGAAGCTGCGTGGTGGCCACGACCGGCTGTGACAACCCTCTCCGCTCAGGTGCGCCCAGGACAGGGTGTGGCCTGAGCCAGCATCTGGTGCCCCTGGGCTCTCAGGCTACAGAGGGAGTGACAAGAACATCACCCCTAGGACTGTGCTCCAGCCTCTCAGAGCTCAAGGGTCTGGGCAGAAAGGTTAAGGTTCCCCCGGGGCGCGGGGGCTGGGCCACATGCCTGGTTTGGCTGCAACCCCAAAGGCCTTAGGCTACCAGCCAGGAGTCTCCGAGCCTGCCTGGGGTCTGTGGGATGGCCACAAGCCACTGTCCCCCCACTGATGAGAACTGGGGCACCAGGATTCCCACGGCCTGGGCCCATGGGGTTTAGTCTGGGTTACAGGGCAGGTCAGACCTGTGGAGATGGCTTATCCTAGGTGAGGCCGCCGAGGGGACGGGGACGGGCGAGAAGGCGGAAACCCCCTTCCCCGCGGGTCCTTCACCGTCTCCTTGAGCAGCATCAGTGGTGGGACACGGGGGCCGAGGCCCTGGCGTCGGGAGAACCGGACACCGGCAGGGTGAGATGCAGGCCGCCCGCAGCCCTCAGGGAGCAAAGCCCCGACTCACGCAATCCCCCCCGACAAGGCGCAGGGCAGGCCTGGGGGTCGGACTCAGGACTCACCCGCTCTCGCTGTCCAGGAACACGGAGCTGCCGCTGTCCACCAGGGCGGCGCTGATGGGCGAGAGGCAGAACGGCGAGGAGAAGGCATCGGAGTCGGAGTCAAAGGAGCTGTCCCTGCTCACGCCGTCCGCCGACAGCTCCAGGGAGCCCTCCTCCTCGCTGGCCTCGGGCCTCGGCTCCCGCCCCTCCTCCACCCCATCCTGCGAACTGACCACCGACAGGATCCCAGAGTCACTGTGGGCCGGCGGGGGGGCCACCCCCAAGCCCCGGGCCAGCTTCTCCCCATCCTCGGAAGGGGGGGAAGGGCTGACGCGCACGGCGTCCGGGTTGCCCTGTGCCACCACCAGGGCATCCTCATCTCTGGGGGTCAGGGCAGGCCTGGGCTCCGTAGGAGAGGGCTGATGGGCGGTCCCCAGGCTCTGGGCGCGCCGGGCCCGCGGGCGGGGCGCCTTGCGCACGGGGGAGCTCTCGGGGGTGATGTAACGCAGCGCCTCCTCGTCCTGCCTCTGGATGCGAGAGTTGGGGACCCACGCGAGGATGACGGTGCTCCCCAGCAGCTCGTCCTTCTCCACGTACAAGCACAGGTATCCTGCCAGGGTCGGGAGGACAGGTGCGTTAGGGACCGCGGCCCCTCTGTCTGGCTCCTGGTCAAGGCCCCACCCTGGGCCGCCAGGACAGGACCGGGCTGGAGCTGGCTGCAGACAGCCTGGCCCTGAGCGCAGCGTGGCCGGGGGTGCTATCGGCTCAGTGAGTGAAAACTGGGGGCACGTAGCTGATTCAGGGCACCGGGCTCCCAGACAGTGGCCTGTCGTCACCTCCCCATGCCCTGGGAGCCCTCCTCCCGCTCAGAGCCCCACCCCGGCTACGGTCTGGCGGCCCCGGAGCTTCCCTCCCCACAGCCAGCCTCCAGGTCTAAGCGAGCCCAGGGGCCCGGGAGCCCCGTTTCACCACGCCTGGGAGTGACGGAAGCTGCGGACTTCATTTCTATCTCATACAAAATAAATCCAAAGAAGGGTTTTTAGGCGTTTTCCAGTCAGTCGGGGTCTCAGTGTGTTTTCTTTAATGCAGCTTTCTGGAAGGAGGGGCATCCCCGATGTCAGGCACCAGACCGTGGACAGGGCGGGAGAAGAGCCGTCCCCCTCAGAGTGGCTGCCAGTGGGTGGGCTCTCTGGGCCCCCGAATGCTCAGTCTGGGGACAAGCAGCATTTCCTGACACTTCAGGATGTCCTGACTCCTGGGTTGATCATGCCAGGTGCCCAGGCCTCCTGGTCTCTGCGCTAGAAAGCCCCCGGGGCCGAACTGGGTCGCCACATCCCCCGGAGCTCTGAGAACCTGCACCAGTCTCCTGAGCCTTGCTCCCCTTTCCAGAAGAGGTGGGGACACTCCAGGATAACAGTAAGGAGCAGGGGAGGCCACACGTTTCCATACCCTCAGATCCTGTGGCTCAGGGAAGGGGAAGGGAGCCCCAGGACTCTGCCCTCACCCCGGGGCCTTCCATCATGATGGCATCCACACGAAGTTCTCCCAGGGCTGTGCTGTTCTTTCTGGATGAGACCAGAAGAGCTGACACTCTCAGATCCGGCCCTAGAACCACTGTCCCCTCCTCGAACCCTCAGAGTTGGCCCCACGGTCAGGAGTCCACGGCCACACGCCACCAGAGCCCGCGCCCCCTTCTAGAGCACACTGCGGGGGGGATGCAGGATGCTGGAATTCCCTGTCCACACGGCCCGGAGCCGGCTCCCAGGGCCTGCTCCTGAGCTGTCTGTGGGGGCGATGGGCGGGCTGCTGTGTCCACACGTGGGTGCCCACGGTCCCTTCTAGTGCAGGACAGAGCTCGGCTGCAGGCGGGCTCTCCTGCTTCAGGACCTGTGGGGGCTGATGATTCTGAACCCGCACCCGACCATCGGCGGCTACAAAGACAGATTCACCGAGGTAGGACCAGTTCATTAACGTAATTTAAACATTTTGTCTTTTAATTAACTCATTCAGTATTTTGCAGACACATAATTGGCATACAGCAAAGTGCTCAGGCCTGACCATCAATTATAACTTTTCGATGTCTGACGTCTGGTGTGGGGCTTCTGTCTATGCTGGGTGAGCGAGTCCACAGGCCGCAGCCGGCCCCCTGCAGGTGCACTGGGGGCCCCGAGGGCCCTCCAGCAGCCCGGGGAGGCCGAGGGAAGAACGAAGATTGCCCAGAGCCTGCCCTTGTCCCATCTCCTCCCCGGGCTAGCGTTGGGAATGGCCCAGCCTCTCGGAGCACCAGCCTCCTCTTCCAAAACAGAGGCGAGTCCCGGCTCCCGGCTCCCGGCACTCTCAGGAGGTTAACGTACAGATAAGATAAGGGAAACCATGTACTTGTCGCAGCCGTCTGCAGAAACGACAGAGGACACAGGACTTGGGTATCACGGACCCATCATTTTGTCCTTCCCGTGGGAGGCAATCGGGGCTGAGGGAGGTCAGTGCCCCGTTGCTATGACCGGATCTAACAGCCTCAGACCCGCCCCGGCCCGAGGACAGCCACAGTCCGGTACCCGACCCGGAAGAGAAGTGCCTGCTTTGCTCCGTGCTGTGAGCCGCAGCCCCGCGGAGCGCCAGGTGGTCGGCCACCGCAGCAGGGCTCAGGATACAGCTCGAGCCCTGGGAAAGAGGCAGTTTCTTTGTCTGCGACTTGGCACAAGATCGCAAAGCTGCTGTCACCGCAGGAAAAGTGTCCAGCCCAGGCTCACGGAGGCCCCAGTGCTGGTGTGTCCCGGGCATGGCCCTAGGGGAATGAATCTGTGGCCCCCACATCTCCCAGCGGCAGACTCCAGCTGACGCTTTCTGCCCTGATTTCGGAACCGTGGGGTTAGAGGACAGGTGGAGACAGGACTGGTGCTTTCTGGGGCCTGCCCTACAGTCTACCTGGTTCTCATCGCGGCCTTCCGGGCTGTGGGAAGGGAAGCAACCACCAGGCCTAGCTCGAGGGGTGTGGTCGCGCCACAGTGGAGGGGGCCCGTGGGTACCAGTCCGTGCTCACAGAGGAGGGCTGCCCGCTTCCCTGCCTGCAGGCTCCCTGCTCCCAGCATCTGGGAGGGACCTAATGTCCTCTTCTGAGGCTGATTCCCCGTAAACCGTCCCGCCCCATGTGTACAAGTTAAAGGTCACCGGCCCCTTCAAAGATGGGGGAATTAGGACAAATGGGGAAGTGGCCCAAAGCTTTCCGAAGCTGGGGCTTGGACGTTTTAGAAAGAAACCAAGCCCCCTGCCCAGGCCCTCCCGTCTCTTGAGCTCACCTGGGTGGTGCTCCCCCAGCCCCTGCAGTCCCTCGGGCGGGTGCACGCAGACATTGTTCTTGGAGTAGATGATCTCCCCGTCCAGGACGGAGGGGGGCCCGCCACCACCGCCCGGGGTAAGGGTCAGGAGGTCCGAGGCTTTGGAGGATGCCCGGCGAAGGAGACGGCCCAGAGACATTGCCGGGGGAGTGTTTCCATCCTCCGCACGCTTCGGCCCAGGTGGGGCTCGTCCAGATGTGGCTGGGGGAGAAAGGCAGAGGCGGCACGTCAGGCCAAGGTCATGGGCGTGGGCCCGGTGTCTTCAGCGCTGTGCCTTGCCTCACACTGGCAAGCGCGAGACGGATGGGAGCTCGCTGACCTCTGGGACGGGCCCTGCTAGCACGAGGCCACGTGGCACCATGGACATTTGGGGCCGGGTCGTTCTCAGTGCTGAAGGCGACTCCGGTCTCTACCCATGGATGCCACTAGCAGTGCCCTTCCCGCGATGACTCCAGGCATGGCTAACGTCCCCCAAGGGCCAAACCACCTGTCACGGGCGCTCTGCTCCCCCACGGTGATGCCAGGAAATGCTCAGACTTGTCTCTGCTCAGTTTTGGCCTGCGTCTGCGTCTGTGTCAACAAGCCCTCCCGTCCTGAACCTCAACCCCTCCGCCGTGCTTCCCAGGGAGCGACCTCCTTCCTTCATCCGCCCTTCCCGGCCTCCTCCACCCCCAGCCCCGGCCTGATGTCCTGACTCAACATGACGGGTCATCTCAGCTGGGAAGGGTGTCACAAGGACCCGAGTTTGCCTACAACCCGGCAACGAGAGGGGCGTCCGGCCGGCTCAGAGGACTGGGTGACTCTTGATCTCGGGGCCATGGGTTTGAGCCCCACGTGGGGTGTTGAGATCACGTAAATAAGTAAAAAATGTACAAAATAAATAAATAAAAATTAAAACAGTAAACGAGAAACCGGAGGACCGACCCAGTACGCATACAGAACTCCTCGAGATTCCCCGACAGAAGGAGCAGGGTGATTCGCAGGAGAGTGAGTGGGAGAGCCCATAAAGGAGGAGTCCTCCGTCTGGACGAAAGTCCGACACCCGGCGGATGGCCCGAAGCAATTTTTATTCCAGCCGAAAGCCCAACCGTCGGGAATCGCTCGCGGTGTGGACCGGCCAGACGCTTCGCATCAGCCGAGCCCCAGAACGCAGCCACCCAGCGGAGCCGTGGAAGGAGCCATGGGAGTGAGCTCGTGTGCACAGACCCTGCCGCCCCCTGCCAGAGGTGCCGCGTGTGCAAGACGCAGGCTGCGCTGGGCAGGTGCCGGCCAGCCTCACGGGGCGGGGCCAGGACGGGGACACCCGATCGCCTTCCTCTCGTTGAAAGAAAAGAAACGAGGTGAGAGCGAGCCAATACGACAGCATCGTCGATGACGGGTGGACTAAACGGGGTCCGTCCACACGGGGGATGTTATTCGGCCTTAAGGAAGGACACTCGGCCACCGGCCACGCGGGTGGATCTCAAGGACACTGTGCCCAGTGACGTCAGCCACGCACAGAAAGACACAGAGTGTAGGATTCCACGTCCGTGAGGCCACTGGAGTCGTGGGTCAGGTTCACAGAGAGAGAACGTAGGATGGGGGCTGGGTGCCAGGGGCTAGGGGAGGGGCGGGATGGGGAGTTAGTGTTTTGGGGGCCAAATTTTCAGTTTGGGACGACGACAATGCTCTGGACAGGGATGGCGGTGACGGCCCCACAGCGGCGTGAAGGGACTTAATGCCACTCAGTAAGACAGGCGCAGTTTTATGTCCTGTCTGTCTCACCGCAGGACAACACTCTTTGAACCTCCTGCATTTCTGACGCGTCTCCCCCAACCCAGAGCTGTTTTGCAGGGTTCCCTACGTGAGGCTCTTTCTGCTGGAGGGTCTGCACAGGCTTGTGGGGCGGGGGGGCCGGGCTCATGGTGCCCTTCACTGTCAGAGGCCAGGGGGCTCCCTGCCGGATCCTCAGCCCCAGGCTCTCTGGGGGCCCCTCCCGTGCCCTCAACTCTGTTCTCAGATCTCCCCAGAAAGTCACTAACTCTCCTAAGCACAAGATTCTTCCAACGGCTTCCTGCCAGCCTGAAAGTCGCTCCTCCCTCGTCCGCATCTTTACCTAGAAAGATCCATCACGCCCTTTTCCCGAATGACCGGGGTTCCCAATATCGGCATCACCTTGAAAGTCACGGTTCTGGGACACTCACTGTCTCAGCCACAAGCCGAGGACATCACTCCACTCCTGGTCATATCCAGGCCCCGAATCCACCCCTTGAAGGCTTCCCCCAGGCCAACACTCTCAACCCCCTTGGCCAGAGGGCAGCAAGCTGATTTCAAGGACCAGACAGTAATCGTCAGGCTCCGCGGCTGCCGGTCCCACCGTGTGACAGCGGCCACAGACGGGAACCAGGAGGTGTGTCTGTGACCCAGTGAGACTTGATTCATGGACACTCTCATCTGAATCTCCTAATCTCTATGTCTCACAGAAAATTCTCCTTTTAGATTTTTTCCAATCATTTAAAAATATAAAACGCAACCTTAGCTCAAAGACTAGAAAACAAGCAGAAGGCTTGATTTGGCCCATGGGCTGCAGACAGCTGACCCCTGGCTCAGGCCACCTTCTGGATACTTGACCCCTCTCTCTACCCCAACTGCCTCCAGGCCAGCCTCTCCGGGAAGCCTTCCCGGCCTCTCCAGGTCAAGGGGGTGGCCACCCCACTGTCTGCTCTCTGAACTTGGAGGCACGCCCCAGCACCTGTCAACCTCAGTATAAAATTCTTTAAAAAACAAAACCAATCACACGCCCTACATATCACGTCGTCTGTGCAACTGTCAGTATTGTTATTCTAGTGACGAGTCTGCTGTCCAGGATATTTTTAGCACTCAAGAATCGTTCCAGAATGACAAGGTCCCTTCATGAGCTGTACAAGAAAATGAGTCTCCTCTTTCTAGACGAGCGCTGCCCGGTTTGCTAATATCCCCCAGCCACGTTTTAAAAAGTGAACAGAAAGGAGGAAGATTAACTTTGGTAATACACTTTCATTTCAGTCCTTATTCCCCAAACAGGATCGTTTCGGCCCATAATCCATGCGGAAACAAGCTGCTCGACGTCCCCTCGGCCTCTGGAATCTGGGGTCTGTTTCGCGTTAAGGGCAGCTCAGCCGGGACCCACACTGCGGCCGCAGCCTCGGCGCCCTCGGGGTCTCCCCTGGTGTCCCTTCATTAACCCGGATGAGGCTGCAAACAGCTGTCAGCTGAGTCTGGAACCCAAACCGCCCTTCAGTGAAGACGTCTGCCACCGCAGAGGACAATCAGAAGAACGTGCTGGAAGGTTTGAAGGGCCAAAACACAAGCACTCACAATCCCGCCTTCCCCTGCACAGCTGACGCGGACCTCACGCTCTCCTCCCCTGAGACTCTGGCCCACGCGACCTCCTACAAGCAAGTTCCGAAAACGAGAAAACGGGTTCCAAGCGTTCAGGTCACTTGGGGAGCGGAGAAACTTGGCGCCTAAGACCTTCGTCCCCTGTGCTCAGAGTTCAGCTCCCACCCCACCCCCGCCACCTGGGTAGGCAGGGGACAGTCCCCCCCAGCTCCGGCTCCAGAGTGTCCTGCAGCAGGCCGCACCCTGGGGGGTGTCTGTCAAAGGCCCCCACAAATATTCACCTTCTTCAGACACTTTCCACTCGCTCTCCAAATGCGTCTGCTCCTCCGTGAGCCGCCTTCATTGACATGAAACCCGGTTCCCAGCCCCTGCTACCACACTGCTCGCCGAGAGAGCCCTTGACCTATTTTTGAATGCTTTTTTTTTCTTTTTCTTTTTTTTTTTTTGTAAATTAGGCACCAAGCTCAGAGAAGTACAAAGAAGAACACAAGTGCCTCAAATCACAGGATCCGAAACTGTTCACGTGTCTGCTCCTATCTTCTGTGTCTATCTTATAAAAAAGCAAAGACGCCCCACGGGGGTGACCGGAGTCTTACTTTCCGTCGTAGCCTAAGTGCATTCTCCCACGTGTTAATGAGTCTAAGAGTGTGTCTTCCCCCAACCCCCAAATCATACGTCGAAACTCCAACCCCCCCCAACCCAGCACCTCGGAATGAGGCTGTATTCAGAGACGGGTCTTTACAGAGGTGATCAGGTTGGAATTAGGCCATTAGAGAGGCCGGAATCCAGTGTGGCTGGTGTCCTTTGAAAAGAGGAAATTTGGAGATGGACAAGGTGTCCAGATCAGGGCACAGGTCCAGGAAGAGGCAATGGCGTGACAGAGCAGTGGCGAGGTGGAACGGGGAGGGAGGGAGGGAGGAAGGCCTGCCCCCTGCAGAGCTGGCTGGTCAGGCAGGAGGGGAAGGGGAAGGGGACTGGGCCCGGCAGGCGGCACCCAGGGAAGCTGGGTGGGAGACGCAGAGCAGGGTAAAAAGGATAAAAAATTCCTGGGGTGGACAGGGACCCGCGGCACAAGGATGTGAACGGCCCCAACGGCACGAAACTGCACGCTTCAAAATGGCCCGAGTGGGCACCACACTGTGTATCCTTGACCGAGATGAAAAATACCGTAATAGTGGAACCTGGAGAGGGGTGTACAGATGCTCTCTGTACTGTTTTTGGTAAACCTAAAATGCTCTAAACAATAAAATTTGATTTTAAAAAAGAGGGTAGAGACCAGAGTGCATGCCCCCAGAGAATCCAGGCAGAGAGGACACCGGTGGATGGAGGCAGGGGACGGGCTGGGAGCCAGAGGCAGGACGAGGGACAGCAGCGTGACAAAGGGAGCTCGGGTGTCCAGGCCGATGGACAGCAGCAGTAATGCCAGGGCCTGGCCAGAGCTGCACGCCCTGACGGGGATCTTCCTCCTGTCCTTGAGTCTGCAAGATGCATGACCTTGAATGCTTCACTCATAACCTGCAGAGCAGTTTATGCCCATGACCTTTGGGACCTGGGGACCCGTGGGGGTGGGAGGAGCACAGAGAACTACCCGTCCTGGTAGACCAGAAAGCTGTGCTCCAGAACGTCTTCCCGGGGACAAGATTCTGAGCAAGGAGAACGCGGGCCGGGTGCCTCTGGGGTCTCTGGGCAGGTGACTTATTCACGTTCTACCTCGGACAGAGCTGGGGGCAGGCGCACAACCAGCACACCATTTAAGTGCCGTCCGCGGAGATCCGGAGACGCACGAAATCAGCTCATGCTTGGAAGAAAGGAACCTGAGAGGAGCCCGCAGCCAGAAGCAG